ATATCAGCTCCGTACTCCACTGTCACGTCCTCCTCAATACTGCTGACCAGGCGCCAGAACTCCCGTTCCACCAGCTCTGTGGGCACCATCTGTACGGCACACGCAACGCATCAGGACACACATATAACACTGCATGGCACACACGGCGCATCAGTACACACAGCACTGCATTAACACATCCATGAGTACACAAGACAAAATTGTTTTTTTTCCCAATTCCTCTTGTCTCTCAAACACCGCACTAACAAGCAACACATCAGTACACAAAACACTGTGGGCACCATCTACACACTTCGTAAATACACGCAGAAATATGGCAGAAGTCCGATGCGACTTAACGGAACACGAGAATAACAGAATTCAGTGACGACCGTCAACAGCAGAGTGTCGTCACACTACCACACATGCACAGACTGCTCTGTCAAGGCTACTGACGTGCACAGGCATGTTGAAGTAGTCGGACTTGAAGGTGTCGGCCATCTCCCCAAAGCTCTGCAGCGTGTACTCCCGAGTGGCCTGCTCGAAACCAAACGCCTCCGTCGGCCGCTTACACTCCTGAGAACACGGGGGGGGGACAGGAGGAGAAAGACGAAGAGTGAGAGGCGCCCCGGTGCACATTCACGCTTCCGCTGTGACAGGCGAGACCCCCGGGACAGAGCCGCGCACGGCGATCCACACGCTGCCAGCCGCCCCCCCCCCTCGACCCGGCTCACCTCAGCCACACACTTGGGGCAGCGCCAGTCGCCCTTGGGGGGGTCGGTCAGGGGGGGCAGCAGGCAGAAGGTGTGGTAGTTATCGTCACAGCCGTCGCACAACAGCAGCTTCTCGTCCTCATCCCCCCGGCCACACATCCGGCACACGAAGGAGTCCACCTGGCGGAGGGAGAGGGAGAGAAGGGGAGAGGCGATCAGGCCTCTGAAACCCGCAGACAGACACAGGCCCCAGCTGCTGAAGAACCACAGCTGGCAGCCCTATGAAGCTCAGCAGGCGTGAGCCTGGTCAGTACCTGGATGGGAGACTCCTGGGAAAAACTAAGGCTGCTGCTGGAAGAGGTGTTAGTGGGGCCAGCAGGGGACGCTCACCCTGCGGCCCGTGTGGGTCCTAATGCCCCAGTACAGTGACGGGGACACTGTACTGTAAAACAGGCGCCGTCCTTCGGATGGGATGTAAAACCGAGGTCCTGACTCTCTGCGGTCATTAAAAATCCCAGGGCGTTTCTCGAAAAGAGTATGGGTGTAACCCCGGCGTTCTGGCCAAATTCCCATTGGCCCTTACCAATCATGGCCTCCTAATAATCCCCATCTATGAATTGGCTTCATCCCTCTGCTCTCCTCCCCACTGAGACCTGGTGTGTGGTGAGCGTTCTGGCGCTCATCCAGGTGGGGCTGCACATTGGTGGTGGTGGAGGGGAGACCCATTACCTGTAAAGTGCTTTGAGTGGAGTGTCCAGAAAAGCGCTATATAAGTGTAAGGAACTATTATTATAGCTCTGGGGGGGTTCACACTGACACGCTCTCCCCCCGCGAGACTCACAAACTGCGTGTTGCTCTGGTTGCGCCGCAGCCTCATGGTCATCTTGGTGCAGGGCTCGTCCTCGGCGAGCTCCTCCTCCTTCTTCACCTGGACAGCAGGGGGCGCCCCTTCCTGCTCGGCGTCCTCCTCCTTCACCGGCACCACGCTGTCCCGCACGATCACCGTCTGGGGCAGCTCGTCTGGAGGCGCCGCGTCCCGTAACGAACAATGAGCAATACGAAGAAAGGAAGAGTCAATGACAAAAGTCAAAAATTAGTTTGTGAAATATTGTGGCTACAAAGAAAAGAGTTGTCTACTGTAAAATCAGAATTTCCACGACAAACAACGTTTGGTTATATAATTCCTTGCAGGAAAGAGAGAGTGAACTCTAGTGTACAGAATGCTAAACCTCCTCAGCACAAAGACACCAGTTCAGCCTTGGCACTAAAGGACAGGACAATACAGCATCTCAGCACTAGCGTACAGTGCCGTGTCTTGGCACTCGTGTACAGTGCTGTACAATGTAGTGTCTTGGCATGCACAGACAGTGCAGTACTCTCTCTCATCCCTAGGGGACAGTGCAGCGCAGTGCCTCAGCACCAGCGGACAGATCACCAACACAGCTCCGGGCCCGAGTGGTGTCACCTTTCTTGCGGGGGCCCTTGTCCCGGGGAACCAGTCCCAGCCCGAGCATCTTGGGTCCAGCACCATAAATCTGCAGTTTCTTCAGCTCTGGGTTCTTCTCTATGTCCTCCTCTGTGGGCTCCGGCTGAGAGAGAGAGAGAGACACACAGAGGTGAGCACTGACTGTTCTGCAGCAGAGCTGCGCAGAGACAGAGGGGTGAGACACTACTGCACAGCCCTGCAGAAGCACAGAGAGGCGAGTGCTGACTGCGCAGCAGGACAGAGACACAGGGGTGAGACACTACAGCAGTAGGCCAGAGACTACAGGGTTGGGGGGGGGACACTGGAAGACAAGGGAAAGGTAGTAAGCAAGGAAGAAAAAGCTGGAGGAAGAAGGAAAGACGAAACAATACCGGACAGAGCAGGAGAGATTACACAAGTGTTCTCCAGAGGCTCTGGCTCCGGTGTCAGTGTTTTTCGAGAAGTACAGCCTCGACTGCCGTTACCCTGCAAGCATGCCTGGGAAACTCTGCCCCTCAGCACTGCAGGACTCCACCCCCTCAGGACTACTTCACCACTCCAAGCACTGAGCCGCCTGGTACACCCACACTGCAGCCGAAGAGCCGCCAGGCATCTCGCAGCTCGCTGGCCAGGTGGTTGAGGTGAAGGGCTAATTTTCGGAGCAGCTCCTGCTACAGGCTCCCGTTTTCCTGCTGTTGAGTCACTGTGTTGCCCTGGTGGCGTTACTGAACCTGCTCATGTGACAGAAATCCCAGGCCCTGCGTCAACCCTGTTTTTGATTAAATAACCCACCCTACCTTGCTACAGTGTTACTCAGGAAGAGGATAAGAGCAACTGGAGAGCTGAGGGGGCTCTCTGTGTCGCAGTGAATCGACAGTACCTGACTCATCCCAACTTGTCGCCCAGTGACTGTCCTTGTGGTTTTATCCTGTACTGCTATATGACAAGAGTTGCCTACCACTCTAAATGGTTTTGTGGGCTGTGCAACCCTAACTACTGTGAACAATTACTGTGGTAATCAGTCATAAACTTCTATAAAAAAACAACTTTATGAGGCACTACTCCAGCAGCAGTGAAAGGATGGTAAACTGCAGTTAGATGTGCAAGAGGATCATACAACCAGTTATATAGCCAGCAGCTACATCACCTGCAACTCACAGCTGGCAGCCCACAGGAGACTCCTGGGAAAGCTGAGGCTGCTGCTGGAAGAGGTGTTCGTGGGGCCAGCAGGGGGCGCTCACCCTGCGGTCTGTGTGGGTCCTACTGCTCCAGTATAGTGACGGGCACAGTATACTGTAAAAAAGGCGCCGTCCTTCGGATGTGAACTAAAACCGAAGTCCTGACTCTCCATGACCAATAAAAATCCCAGGTCATTTCTCAATAAGAGTAGGGGTGTAACCCCAGTGTCCTGGCCAAATTTCTCCCTGGCCTTTACCAATCATGGCCTCCTAATAATCCACCATCTCTGAACTGGCTTCATCACTCTGTTCTCCTCCCCACTGATAGCTGGTGTGTGGTGAGCGTTCTGGCGCACTCTGGCTGCCATCACATCATCCAGGTGGGGCTGCACACTGGTGGTGGAGGGGATCCCCATTACCTGTACAGTGTTTTCTTTGAGTGGAGTGTCCAGAAAAGCGCTATAGAAGTGTATGGAATTATTCTTATGATTAAATGGTGAAATTGGCCAATGTGATCAGCAAACTGCAGAATGATCTCTTGGGTAATACGAGAGCCCCAGTGTGGCTCCCCAGGGACTGAGCGGACTTTAAAAGACGGCTCTGGGCAGGCGAACACAAACACCTCCATCTCCCTCCCTCTCCTTCGGATTCTTTTCCTTTCTGTTGCTCTCAGGGATTTTTTCATATTGGTTCAGCAGCTGGAGGATTCCCAACCCTAGATCAGAACCGCAGTGACAGAGACTCCCAGGCAGGGACAGAGACAGTACACAGGTCACATCAGGGTCAGACAGAGACTCGCAGACAGACACGGGCAGGGACAGAGACAGTACACGGGTCACATCAGGGTCAGACAGAGACTCGCAGACAGACACAGGCGGGGACAGAGACAGTACACGGGTCACGTC